TGGCTTTAGAAGTGAGAATTAAAAGTTGTAAATTTTGTAGTACTCAACAGCACAAAAGAAGAGAGGGTTATAAATTTGATAAGGTAAAAATTGTTATTGATTGAGAATAAAGGCAGTTGAGTGCCAATTTAACAAGTGTGAAGCGGGTATGAAAATGTACAAAAGGAGCATATGAGAGTGATAACAATGAATTAATTGTTAAAGTAAAAGCAAACTAAAAGTAGAACTGAAAATTTAAAACTAAAAAATAAAGTTTTTTTTACAGGGAACGACTAGTGAAGAGGTTGAGACCAAGGTAGAATAAGAGACTGAACAAACTGTTTCCGTATACATAGTTCGTGGTTGTATTGCCGAATTGCCACCGCCTCCACCATACACAAATGCTGAAACCTGACGCCCTTTGTAATATTCGGCCTCACCTTGTAGATGATCCTGAAAGACGACTCTGATGTAGCTAAGTAGCTTCAGTTCACCAAGTGCTCGAGAATTGAGCTAGTAATTGTCTTGTACTGTCCTTTTGCTAACCAACCATGTTCAGAGATGCGTTTGAAAAGTGTGTGCTTTGTGCGGCAAATATAACTAGCTCCACAGGAGCAGGTGAATTTATAGACATACATTGAAGGGGGCCCATCGAAAGTGGCAGTTTATCCTTCATACATCCAGTGATCATTTGTAGGCGGTAGAAATTGATGGGTAGCTCAGCCACAAATAAGGCTTTTCTCACTGGCCTGCACAAGTTGTAATTCAGAATCTCAGCGACGTTCATAAAAGCAATTTCTTCGACACCGTCTGGGTTCTTTTAGGCTTTCATTTTAACTTCATGTTTTTCTCGATTAATCTTGGAGGATCTCTCCATTTTCTATGAGGACTTGTCTGAGTCGCTCTAGTACCTCGTCGATTGTATCGCTAGAAAATATCCTTCCTTAAGGATAAAGAGTGGGTCAGGTTTATCTTTCTTCTGCAGAAAAACTTTGCTAGTGTGACTATGTATAAAGTGAGATTTCTTAAAGTTATTAGCACTGAACAGCAAAGCATCAGTGAAGGAAACATCGTTTTGTTTTCTAAAGACATTAAAAAAATACAAAAATATGGTTAAGGATAATAATTTCTCACTTTATGTCTCACCACAGAAAAGTGTATCTCAGAGGAGTATTGAAACTTGAAGCTGGTTTGTTTTTACCCTTATACTCATCAGTGCATGAGTTAAAATGTATTTATCTTTTTTTTGATTTACAGCTTGATTCCACACTGTATTTTTGGTACAAGTATGGAATTTTCAGCATGGATATCGGTAGCCCAAATTTCCCAGGCCGACCATAGATATCAGGTGTGCGTCGGTGCAGGCTCGAACCCCGGACCATGTGCATGGTCGTTGAGAGTCCTAACCACTGTGCCACCGACGCACAGTGACACTCTCTCTCAGTGACACTTAATCGTACATTATGGATGCTGTGATGTATCTTATTTACAGGGCATTGCACCCCTAATCAGCAGTTGAATGATGTCTTACAAGCTTTGGAGCCTAAAGATATTAGGGAAGATCACCGGCTGATCCAAAGCGTTCGATGCAACCAACTCTCCAATGCCTTTCGAAATAATATCGCCGTTTTGTTGTTGATGAAATCCAACTGAAGACCAACTTAATGCGCATAAACTAATTTTTAGACAATTAAAATACTATTCAGTGGACAAAACAGAGTAATTATGATGAAGTTATCAATTCTTTTTATTTTAATATATGAAAGAGGGTGGAATAGATGCCGACATAGCATTTTTATGCATTTGACTTCATTTCTGTTCATTCCAGGGTATAGATAGTAATTGTCATATATATACACTTAATTAATGTCTGCATTATACCTCCCTGCTTGGCATTTTTAGTCGAGCGACTTGTTGTGTAAAGTCTGGCCTGGTAAATATCATATAATCAAGGGTGGCCATAAAAGATAATGGTGAATCGTAGATGCGTGCGTGCAGGCATGCATATATGTATGTATGTATATGTAAGTGAGTACGTTTACTGATTTTGAAATGTAGACTAGTCACAGAAGTAGATAGTGTCACCGGTGGTTACTGTAATGGCTACAAGGATACTTGTATATTACACATATATATGTTGTTAATTAGTTAAGTAATGCTTCTATCCTGCCATAGTTAGCAAATAAAGTTCTAATTACCAATGAGCATTCACTTATAAACTTTCCATTTCGTAGGGATTCTGACTAATTTCATCGGTATCTGCAACATAAACCTTAATCTTCACAAAACCTAAATAAATTCCCAACTCATTATTGATTATAAGATGGATGTCTTGAAGTTCTAAGGAGACGTTATGACTGGTAAGTGCATGGTTATCGATGCTATTCGTTGGCGGTGACGCTAGTTCGTGCAGTTGAAGCCCTATGTTCCACTAGGAACCCAAGAGAGCAATAATAATAATAAGGTCCGACCCAATAGCTCACCTAATGACCTTAGGGTCGTGGGTGAGCATCTGTGCAGAGTAACATACAAGAAGAGGAGAAATGTCCACAGCTTCTTGGTTTTCAGTAGTTATTTAATCCCAGGTTTTCTAGCGGCTCTCTAATTGATGTTATCTTATGATGAAATCCTCCATCCAATCAAAAAAAATCCACGCAAAACCAATATTTAAAAATTAATCTGATGCTCACTGGCGACTATCCCTGTTCAGGCAGTGACCTGCGGTTCTAGTGGGAAGCCGTGACCAGTAGGGTACGGCAGGTTGAAGATGAGGCAGCACCTCATCGAAGAAGACATTATGAAGTGGTCGCCCTATGTCATGAATCGGCTGGCAGAAGTTAAGATTGATTTTCTAGCCATTGGGTCAGGTGTCAGTGGCTAGTGAATGGTCTACGAACTAGCTCCCCTCGTAACCAAAAGGTCGTGGGTTCGAACCGTGGGGGTGGGTACGTACTGCTGAAAAGTCCCAAACTAGGATGAAACAGCTGTTCAGTACTCACAGGTTTTCCGGTGGTTCTCCTTATTGATATCAGCTCATGATGAAATCCTCTATCCAAGTGATTGATTGGGATGGGCATTTGGATAGTGATCACAGCAACTAGTAGTACTTCCTAGCCAACCAGATCAATGTTATCTGAATATTAAGGCGGCTGTTTCGCTGATTCAGGAGCCGAGGTCATTGGTGACGCATCTGGTTTGAGTCAACTCAGCACTATTTGTTGATTTAAGTGGTATACAACTGCTCACCTCAGTCATTCAGTGGTATATATTTTCATGAAGTATATGTTATTGCGTTATTGCCTGAAAATCTTTCTCAACAGCTTGCAAAAGCTGCGCTGTTTGAATATCACTCACTTTGTCCTCAGTTCAAAACTTCAACCCTGACTTCAATGATGAATACTTATCAAGTTTTGATGAAACCGAAATGATCAGATCTTTAGTATAATACAGCCGATTAAACGAGATTTGAGGCCTTCTTTCAGGAAAATTAATGTTGGACTGGTTTTGTGTAAAAAAATAGAGCTTCAGTACCACACCTCGATTTCATCCCGTTTTCTGCAGCTGTCTTTAGTTGGCTTCAAGGTAACCGTCAGCTTTCTTCTCCCCTCGTGATCTCTTCACAGTCATTCATAAGGCGACACTCAGCTCATCGTTTCCTATTCTAGTTTCACTCGAGGGCCTAGCGTGGGATTTTACTCAACGATGTCGTCACAGTGTCCTCGATCAGTCCCCTTTTCTTCTTAGGAATATTTATCAGTAAACAGGTAATTGATGGGCTTGCCCCCAGAATTCTTTGTTGGTATCTCTCTTGGGATGCGATAACGAACTCGGAATTCATGCTTCAAGATGATCGATGAGAAAAATTTAAGATCACAGAATTTTATTCATTAAAAGTGAACACGTATTCTTCAGTAAATCAACTATTTAGTTATGCTTTCTTATTTTATATCGTGTTATTTCATCTTTCTTGCCATTCTGAATCAGCAGTTCGAATAAGCGGTGTTATTTGAAGCAATTATATTATTAGAACAAGACATATAAGCGAATAATATTGCTGTTTTCAATTAGATCTTCATCAGGCTTTACTCTAATTTACATAGACTTATATTTTTACGAGTTGATCACGGATTGATATCAGTTAGAGAACCATTGAAAACCAGGGAGTACTGGACAGCTGCTATTTCATCCTAGTTTGGGAATCATCGGCAGTACGCACCCACTTCCAGGGTTCGAGCCCGGGACCTTCTGGTTACAAGCAAGCTGGCTCGTATACCATTCAGCCACTGGGACCCGATTCAAATGTCGGTGCATGAATTCTAACTTGTAGGGGACTAATATTAGAGTTCACTAACATTCCAAGTATAAAAGTAATAATCCAAGTCAGTGGAGTGTTAAATCACAATATATTACCAAAAATACAGTGACGAGTTATAGCAACAAAAAGGATTACTTGGTTATAAAGTGTAAGTCCTCGGCTACAAATTAATTATATAATCCACAGGCACGTTAATTGTTTGGACTGCGTCTGCTGTAGCTGCTGTGTTCCGGTTGTAGAAATGTCTTCGGTTGAGAGTAGTAGGCTCCTACAATAAATCCGAAGTATACAACACGGTGTGAGTGGAGCAAGTAAGCAGAAGTGACCAGGGAGAAGACGAAGTCTCCAACAGCAGAGTGTATTTTTCAATTGTACACGGAAATTATGTATATTTCAACAAGAAGCGATTTAAACAAAAATTATGTACAATATCTCGAATTTATACAAGTAACCAAAAAGTGTACAATCACATTGTTACGTACTCAACACGGCTCCCCCCTAGAGGTCCGGAGAGACAACCGGAAAATGATACGTAAAACTATGAAGTAAATAATAATAGTAATAGCAACTTTTGGATAAAAATAGGGATATATTACAACATGCATAAACGCGAGAAGGTATGTGAATCATGTAAAGTCTGAAAGCATATACAATGAGTTCAGCAATAAAAATTGAAATAGAAAGTCATGTCACTTAAATTTGCACTAACCATGAACATAGATTTTTAATGTATAAAGAAAAATATGTAAATACACAGTAATTAAGGAGGGGAAAGAAACATTAAAAAAAATATGGATTAAAGATCAATAGTTTTTGGAAAGGACAATACCTGTTTTTTAGGTGAGGTACATATAAATAAATAATAGTGATAGTAACATCAAAGTTTACGACGAAATACTAACGGTCATGATGATAATGTCTAAACGAAAAAGATAATAATAATTTTTAATTATTTTTCTTTTGTTAGTCCTCAAAATGAACGTAGCGAGCCGGTTTACTGATTTGCCGACCACTACGTGTTTGATATGGAGGGAGGATAAGACTTGGTGCCGGTGGAGTGGAATCGGATGTTTGATTATTTGATTGCGCAGTTGCCGATGTAGATTCGAAGTCGTTGTCGGTGTATGCGGGTTTGATTCGATCAATGGAAATAGTCTCTCGTTTTCCATTCTTGTTCACTGTAAAGTGTTTGTCTGAACGTTTAATAACTTGAAAGGGTCCTTCGTATGGAGGTTGCAATCCTTTTCTGATGGCGTCGACTCGAATGAAGACGAATTTGCAAGTTTGTAGATGTTTGTTGATCTGATCTCGTCGGGGAGATTGTCGAGGTGCTGTTGGTTGAAGTTGAAGCATTTGTCTAGTTAATCGGTTAGTGAAGTCGGCAATGTTCACGTCTGTGGAATCGGCTGAGGGGACTAGCTGTCCAGGCAAGGTTAGGTTGGTGCCATAGACAAGTTGAGCCGGTGTACATCCTAAATCTTCTTTGATAGTAGATCGGATACCAAGTAAAATCAAAGGTAAGTATTCACTCCACTTAGATGTATCATTCTGCGCCATCAGGGAGCTTTTCAGTTGTCTGTGGAATCTTTCCACTAGACCATTCGCTGCCGGATGATAGGCTGTTGTGGAGATATGTTTCACTCCCAGAAGTCTCGTCAGTTCGCGAAAGAGTGTCGATTGGAATTGAGGACCGCGGTCGGATGTAATAGTAGTTGGTACACCGTAGTTTGACACCCAACGGTCGAGAAAAACTAAAGCAACGTTTTCAGCAGATATGTCGTTTAAGGGGCATGCAATAGCCCAACGAGTAAATCTATCAATCGCTGTCAGGATATGTGTATATCCCCTTGATGTTGGCAATGGTCCCACGATATCTATATGGATATGCTGAAATCTCCTTTCGGGTAATTTAAACGTCTTCGGGGTTGTAATAGTGTGGCGGTGTACTTTGGAGCATTGGCATTGGATACATTCTCGTGCCCATCTCCGAATGTCAGAGTTCATTTTAGGCCACACGAAGCGTTCGCTGATCAGCCTGACCGTGGCGCGTACTCCAGGGTGGGAAAGCGAATGTAAATGTTCGAACAATGCTTTTCGGCAACTGAGAGGGACAAATGGACGATTAGTGCCGGTAGATACATCGCAGACTATGGTTGCATCTGATAAGGGGATAGGCACATCTTTGAGTTGTAAGGAAGAGTTTCTGCGGCAGGTTTGGAGTTCAACGTCATCTCTTTGTAATTGAGCCATACGATCAAGACTGATGTCTACCGACGTTTGGAGCTGGTTAATGTCACTTCTTGAAAGAGAATCGGCTACCACGTTCGCATCCCCTTTGATGTACTGAATGTCGGTTGAAAATTGGGAGATATAATCCAACTGTCTGGCTTCTCTAGGGGAGTGTTTATCAAGTGAAGTAGTGAAAGCATGACACAGGGGCTTGTGGTCAGTAAAAATAGTGAAATGCCGGCCCTGTAGTAAGTAACTGAAATGCTTCACTGCAAGATATATGGCCAGCAATTCTCTCCCAAAAGTGCTGTATCGTGTCTGAGCCGGTTCCAACTTCTTAGAAAAGAATGCGAGTGGGGTGACTTCGCCCTTCATCTTTTGTTGTAATACTGCCCCTACAGCTACTTGGGAGGCATCTGTGCACAAAATAAGCGACGCTTCGGGGTTGATATGGGATAGCATAGTGACTCTGGATAAGGCATCTTTTGCGTTGCAAAATGATTCGCGTGCTTCAGCTGACCACTGAAACTTTTTAGGATCATTTTTAAGGAGGTCGGTTAACGGCTGGACGATGGAGGCACACGAAGGAATGAAACGCCGATAGAAATTAAACATCCCCAAAAAACGTCTGACCTTCTTGAGTGAATCTGGTTCGGGGAAGTTTTTGATGGACTCTATCTTTTCCTCCGTAGGCGTAATACCATTCGTGGTTATGTGGTGTCCCAGAAACTGTATAGAGGAGACACCGAATATGCACTTTTTGGGGTTAATGACGACTCCATATTGCTCAAATCGTTGAAATAAGATGGTGAGGTGATCAGTATGTTCTTCGGGCGACGAGCTAGCAATTAAAACGTCATCGATATATACAAATACAAAGTCCAAACCTTGTGTGACCTGATCCATGAAACGTTGGAAGGATTGTGCTGCGTTCTTTAGGCCAAATGGCATGCGGAGAAATTCAAACAAACCGAAAGGTGTGATGATGGCCGTTTTTTCGATATCCTCTTGGGCAACTGGTATTTGGTGATAGGCCCTGACCAAGTCTACTTTAGAAAAAATGGTTTTTCCGTGTAATGTCAGGGAGAAATCATGAAGATGAGGAATAGGATAACGGTCGGGAACTGTGGCATTGTTTAAATGTCGGTAATCCCCACATGGCCTCCAATCATGATCAGCTTTAGGCACCATGTGTAAGGGCGAAGACCAAGGACTATTGGAGGGTCTGATGATGCCGAGCTGCATCATGTGTTCAAATTCTGCCTTGGCTGCTGCCAATTTGTCCGGGGGTAATCTACGGGACGAGCACGAACTGGTTGACCCGTAGTAACTATCTTGTGAGTAACTGTGTGAGGGACGTCCTCGATGTTGTACGACGGCTTAAGAATTTTAGGGAAACGGTGAAGTAGGGAGGAAAAAGGGCAATCTGCTGGTCTTTCAATACTGATATTATAGACAGAATAGCTGGAGATAATTCCATGGATCTTTAGATGGGTGTTGTTATCAATCAGTTTTTTATTGTTGACGTCAACTAACAGGTTGAAATTACTCAAGAAATCTGCTCCGAGGATGGCGTGACTGACGTCGGCTACTATGAAAATCCATGTGAAACGCCGACGTAAACCTAGATCCAGTATGAGGGATTGCTCTCCATACGTCTGTATGCTTGTGTGGTTAGCTGCCCGGAGAGACAGTTTTCCGGGTGTCCGTGTAGATCGCCTGGATAGTGAAGGAGGGATTACGCTAACTTCTGCTCCCGTGTCTACCAGGAATAAAGTGTCTGAAGTTTTATCCTTCACATAGAAGAGGCGACTTGTTTGCTTGCCAGTAACAGCTGTCGCCATCACTGTCTGGCTGAGGCGTTTCCCTGAGCCTGGTTGGCTTCGCTAAAGCTGCACGGTTTTACACATTTCAGGGCATGACGTCCAAACTTCCAGTGATACCAGCATATATTGCTATCCCGAGAAGACGTGTAAGAACGCTGTCGTGAGAAGGATCGTCGTCGTGATGGTGACCTTCTTTGTGAACTCCGTCTCCGGACTTGTCGATCAGACTTATTAGTTTCCAAATTGTCAATCCTTGCCGCTAAGTCTGCAATGGCGGCGAGTATCGGTGTGTCTGCCGTGGGTGTGGAATGACACGGTGTGGCACTATCAGATGCTACGTGACTTATGGTGTTATCGGATAAAACATCCAAAATACTATCTGCCATGTCACTTAGTTGGTCTAAGTCATACGACTTTCCTGAGATGATTAAAATTTGCTGGACATTTCTAGGTAAACGTTGCAACCACATCTGTTTCAGCACTACCTCGTCTACTTTATGGTGTCCGATTAACTGGCGCATGTGCCTGAGCAGCTGGGATGGTTTACGTGGGCCTAGTTCACAGCCTGTGAGCAATTGTTGGATTCTTTTCTCATCCGACAAACTGGTACGTTGTATGAGGAGGGCTTTAAGTTTATCAAATTGATGTTCCGTCGGAGGATCTTCGATGAAATCGCTGATTTCTGTCAATACTGACGGAGGGAGTTCTGCCAGCACCATACCATATTTGGCTATTTGGGACTTAATGCCCCGTGCTTCTAGCAACGGTTCAATTACCGCAAACCAAATCCTTGGTTCTGCGAAACCGTATTGGGGTAAACGAAAATCAGTGATGGCATTTATTGTGGCATTTGTCTCGCTATTAGTTGTCTGCTCGTTTGATGTACCGGACTGAGGTGATGACATTATAATATGAGGTTATTGGTGCAAATTAGGATACAAATATAAACCACACACAAAATCACAATGAATATAAAAATAGCAAAAATAAGAATATAAATATGCCAAAATAATCCGTGTTCTTATCGGGCTCACCAATTAATTTGTAGGGGACTAATATTAGAGTTCACTAACATTCCAAGTATAAAAGTAATAATCCAAGTCAGTGGAGTGTTAAATCACAATATATTACCAAAAATACAGTGACGAGTTATAGCAACAAAAAGGATTACTTGGTTATAAAGTGTAAGTCCTCGGCTACAAATTAATTATATAATCCACAGGCACGTTAATTGTTTGGACTGCGTCTGCTGTAGCTGCTGTGTTCCGGTTGTAGAAATGTCTTCGGTTGAGAGTAGTAGGCTCCTACAATAAATCCGAAGTATACAACACGGTGTGAGTGGAGCAAGTAAGCAGAAGTGACCAGGGAGAAGACGAAGTCTCCAACAGCAGAGTGTATTTTTCAATTGTACACGGAAATTATGTATATTTCAACAAGAAGCGATTTAAACAAAAATTATGTACAATATCTCGAATTTATACAAGTAACCAAAAAGTGTACAATCACATTGTTACGTACTCAACAAACTTCTACCAATTCGTGATTTAGCGCGACCCCAACCATTGTCGTTGTTGGGACATCCATCCACACACGTGACATCTAATTGGACCTCACTGGTCACGACTTCTCGCTAGAACTCAGAAAAATCCAACCTGTAGTAAGTTACTAGCGAGCATCAGATTAATTTTCTATAGTTTGGTTTGTAAGGGTTTGTTATGTTTATACGAGTTGATCACGGATTGATATCAGTTAGAGAACCATTGAAAACCAGGGTAACAGGAAGGTCCTGGGTTCAAACCCTGGAAGTGGGTGCGTACTGCCGATGATTCCCAAACTAGGATGAAACAGCAGCTGTCCAGTACTCCCTGGTTTTCAATGGTTCTCTAACTGATATCAATCCGTGATCAACTCGTAGAAACATAACAAACCCTCACAAACCAAACTGTAGAAAATAGATTTATATACATAAAAATTTTATCCAATGTCGGTGATTTTGTGGATTAAATCATATTAATAACAATAATGTGGTAAATATTTTGAAGGAAATTAATAACGATGATTATAATGATAACAAAATATTGATAATGAGGTTTATGCAGGTGGCGATAAGAATAACAAAGGTAATATATGTATATATGTGTATATGTAGACAATTCAATAAATAAATTAGGTCAAATCTTAAAAGTTATGTGATACTAAAGGCGAAGTGGACCGGTAATCAGAGTTTAAATAAATATCATAAAAGTACGAAGGAGATGGATGATAAGAAAGGGTGGGAGGGTTTTGAATAGAATTCACTTAGGCTAAGTGAGGGCGAGACAAAGGTAGAACAAACTTCTTTTGTATGCACAGACTAAGATTGTTCTCTCGAATTGATTACTGTATCTTCGGCTGTGTGTAAAAGACGGCTTCAAATTCCGTTCGAAAAACTCGATGGAATGTGATAGATAACTTTGAAGGCACTATTTTTGTCCATTTGGTGACCACTATTAATCAAATGAGCCAAAATAGAACTTCTTATAGATTTTATTCGACCTTTTCCTAACCATGAAGGAAGATGCTCATTAATGCGTTTGTTAGGCTGTCTAGTTGTTCGCCCTATATAGCTCTGTCCACAGGAGCAACTAAATTTATAGATACACATAGAAGTGGCACGGCTAGGTAGCTTGTCTTTCACTTGAGCAGTCAAAATTGGTCGGCTGGAAAATGACAAACAGAGGGTGGCGGCAGTATAAGTCCATTTTATCGCTCTCGATAATCTCTGATGTAAGACTTCGTTAGCCACGTCCCCATTAAATTGTAGTTTCATGAACAGTTGTTTCTTTTTAACTGTTGTCAGTTTCTCTTTATTCTACCTGGTGTTCATGTGTTCCCTTACAAATCTACTGGGGTAACCAATTTGGACCAGCGTATTTTGGATGTATCCTAACTCATTTTGTAGGGAGTCATCTGTACAGATACGTCTTGCTCTATTCGTGAGGCGTCTCACCAAATTGACTTTATATCGGATTGGTACAAAACTGAAGAAATATGTATACTGTCCTACAGACGTAGGTTTTCTATAGACATCTCTCTTGTGTGAACAATCCTCTCTTCTGCTCAGTTGGATGTCAAGGAAATGTAGTCTACCATCATGTTCTTCTTCACAAGTGAAGATGAGCGATGGGTGTACATCATTAAATTTTATTAACATTTCATTCCTGTCAGCTTCCACATCAAGAATAATAAGCATATCACCAACATAGCCATAATAAGAATCCGTTTTATCGATTACTTGTTTCAACGGACCATTTTCAGGCTTAGCAAGAAAGAAACCTGCTAAAATTAGCCCCAATGGAGAACGAATAGGAGTGACATCGTTTTATCTCTAGTAAAGGTTGTTGAATGTGGAGTGTACATTCATAGTACATCTTAAAAGCAACTCTTTCAGATTAATAACTAGAATTCTGATGTC